TTTAAGAACTTTCTTGGATTCTGCCTTGAACTATTTTTCATTCAAATGCCTCATAAGATATCCCTTGAATCACACCTTTAACATGTTTGCTTCTCTGATTCTGGACTCAGTTCTCGTTACTAAAGCTCATTGTGCCTGGTATCATCATGGTGAATCTGTTCTATGTCTTCCCTCTGTCTCGGCCATGCTTCTGAAGATAAGCTGTCCAATAGTCCCTATTTTAACTGGGGGCCAACCAGTGGTTAAACTGGATTCAGCATTACCTCTGTACTTTTGTACTCTGGTCCTGAACAGTACAAGAGCTTTCACTTTCCACATGGTGTTTGTTCAGTTGGCCAAGACATTTGACACAGCAAACCTGGAAGGCCAGGGGAAGGTGCTTGCTCTGACTGGGATCATTCTATGACAATATGATGACCAGTGTGATGCAGAATGATGCCTTATTTATTGTATTTCCTGTCACTAATGAACAAGACTGTATAATTGGCTCTAGTTTTGTTTCCCAACTACATTGCAGCCATGCTCCTGCATGCATGAAAAGATCACAACATACCAATACTCATTGCACTTGAACAGTTGGTCTCTTCAATCTTCAGCAGCTGAAGGCCTGCACAAGGATCAGAGAAAGTGAACTCAGTGGATTGTCAGCAACTATGTTCTCTTGAAATACACTCCAGAGCACATCCGAATGATTCTGGACCACTGTTTTTCAAGCCTCAGAATGCTTCTTTTTTCCAAAGTCTTGAAATGATGGGGATTTTGTCCAAAACAATGCAACTCTGAACTACACTCGGGCCTTCTGCTAACTTGGGAGTGTGATCGAATTTTCTGTTGCCTGGCAAAAGAAAGCTCGCCATTTGTTAGATTGACCCACAGAGTTTGGAGACAGTGTGGTATTTGTCTCAAAATAAAGTTCAAAATTGACCAGACTCCAATTCTGTCATCACTTGCCCGAGGCTGAGCGGCATGGACAAACCACCAGCTCACATCCTGCAACTTGATGCATTACACCTTTGCAGCTTAAGATCTATCATCATCAAATGGCAGGACAAAATCCCTAACAGAAAAGTCTTACAATGTGTTGCATACAAGATACTTACAGCACAGCCTTCAGAGTTTAGCTTTGCTGGGTCCTCTTGAGTGGCTGCTGTGAAGGTTTCCAACATACCAAAGGCAGTATTCTGCAGTGAGTTGAACATGGAAACTCATACTATAGGGTGTACCAAGCTCACATACAAAGGCTTTGAGAGCCAGTCTCCGAACTCTCAAACTGGACCCCACTACATGATGGGGAGAAACAATCCTGGACAAAACCACATTGGAAAGGACAGTCATTGAGCATCCTCAACATTACAGAAGAGTCAGCTCCCTACATGTCGAGTAAGCACAGCGCAAAGCCAGTGCCTTCAGCCATTCCTCAGACAGTAACTTTATTTGTTAATGTTTGCAGATTGTTTTGCAATTCAAGATTTGGTTAACATCACATTGGTGATGGCACTGACCTAAGTGATGAACAACTGGTCTCCTTGGTGAGCAGTCCTTTCTTAAAATGATGGGAAATTCCATCATCTGCTTTATTTATAAACGTAAGCTCTCAAATCATTCCATCGACTTCTCATGTTACTTGTATATACACCTCTGGTCTTGATTTAGCTTTCCATTATTTTGCACATATTTCATCCCAGAATGTTTTCACTTACTTCTCCACATTTTGATTTTATCTGGCATCTATTTGTCCCACCTTATCACCTGTATGTGCTCTCCTAAGGTTGTTTATAGTCTTTTTTGCAGTTAACAATTCTCCCCAGATTTCTCCCATCTGCTGGTTTTGACATTGAGCCAAGCACTGTAAAACCCAGACAGCATTATGCAGGAGCAATTGTCTTTGTATTGACCCATGGGGGATGCTGCTGTTTATATTTCTGACAAAGATTGTGGGTTCAAACCTCAAACGTCGTGTAGATATAGATTTAGATTTTACTGCCACGTGTACTGAAGTACAAAGTACAGCAGTACAGTGAAAAATGTATAATATCGCCACACATGGCACACCTAGGTACAAACACTTATTTACAAAGTAGTAAGAGAAACAGAGTTTAAAAAGTTAAGCATAACCTTCACAGAATAAGTAGAAAAATAAAGAAATAAGGAAATAATTAACACTAACTTAAACTGGAAAAATGAAGGAATAAAGTTAAATGTTCAACAGTTTTTGAGTCCTCTGCTTATCTCGTTCTTCGGGAGACCTCAGCTACCTATTCTCGACCCCAACTCTGCAGATACCAGGGAAGCTCCCTCACCACTCGCTTTTCCCACGTTGGGCCATGATGCCATTGCTGCTGCCACCTCCAATCTCCTCCTAGTGGCTCTGGAACGTGCCCAGGCAGAACCTACTTACATGCTGACCCAAGAGCTGCCAAGAGACAGAGACACTGCGGGCAGAGACACTGTCATGGGCACTTTGCCAGGAAGAAACACCAAGAGAGCAAGAAGAAAAAAAGACAAAGAAATTAAGAAACAACAGAACAGATGAGCTCTGGCTGTATCACCCTAGTCCGCCGCCATCTTGTGATATTGTGTGTAGGAGCCCCAAATTCTTGCTCCTCTGCAGTCCCAAGGGATCAGTGGTAGAGTATTATTTTTAGTGCCGGAGGTGATGCCTCTTAAATGAGATGTGAATGACCTCACAGCAGTACTTTGATAAAAAGCCATTGTCTGGGAGGTTGCTGAATGTGTGAATTGTGGACTGCTGTGTTTTCTACAACAGGGAGTAATATTTGAGCTCGCAATTTCCTGATTCCTTTTGGCATACTACTTCAGTTCCAAAGGACTTTGAGATATGCTGTATGTGACAGGCACGTATAAATGCAAGTCTTTGTTTTCCTTTCTCCTAATCCAAATTGCATCCATTCATCTTTAATTTATATGCGTTGTCTTTTAACTGTTTTCCCATCTATTTCAACATCCTGTATGACACTTCTTCAAATATCCTATTGAAACTCCATGCATGCAAGAGCAACCACGTTTTGTTTACCAATTCACGGCATTGGTTCCTCACAGAATTCAGGAGTCGCCAAGCACAATTTGCTCTTTATAATTTAATTCAACACTGAGCTTCCAAGTGAGTGGATTTTAATCTGCATAAATATTTAGGTTAGTGGAATTGAAGAAAGGACGCAGGAAATATTTGATAATGCAGATTCATAGCACCTTCAAAGTGGAGTTGCCGATAGAATAGTGAAAAAGGTGTTTGTTACGCTTACCTTTATTGGTCAGTGCATTGGGTATAGGAGTTAAAGGTCATGTCCTGTACAATGGCAACATCAGTGAGGCCACTTTTAGAATACTACATTCACTTCTGGACTCTCTGCTGTAGGAAAGATGTTGTTAAGCTTGAAAGGGTGCAGAAAAGATTTACAAGGATGTTGCTGTTGTTGAGAGTTTGAATCCTCAGGAGACGCTGAATAGGATGAGGCTATTTTCCCTGGAGTGTCGGAGGCTGAAGGGTGACCTTAGAGGTTTCTAAAATCATGAGGGGCATAGATAGGGTGAATAGATTAGGTCTTTTCCCCAGGGTAAGGGTGCCCAAAACTAGAGGGTATAGGTTTAAGGTGAGATGGGAACGATTTAAAAGCGACATAAGGGGCAACTTTATCATGTAGGGGGTGGTGCGTGTATGGAATGAGCTGCCAGAAGAAGTGGTGGAGGCTGGTGAAATTGCAACATTTAAAAGACATCTGGATGGGTATATGAATAGGAAGGTTTAGAGGGATATGGGCCAAATGCTGGCAAATGGGACTAGGTCAGATTTGAATACCTGGTCGGCATGGATAAGTTGGAACAAACGGTCGCATTCCGTGCTGTACAGCTCTGTGACCTCTAAGTGATGAGGAGCAGACTGAATAGGTTTCATGTTGGTGCATGAGACAAGTTGGGGTGAATTGGCTTTTTTGTAAGCCAATGCTGATATTGTTGGGGGGCATTTTATCCCAGTTGGCGAGTATGTGGTTCACAACAATCCTGTGGGGTTATCCCATTCTGACTTGGGTCCAGCCTCCTGAGAGTGGAAAACAATGGGGTAAGCCACCACTGCTTAAAAACTGCCAAGTGAAACTGCTCAGGATAAAACATGGGACAGTGGGCCAAGGCTCTGCCTTGAGGCAGAACGTACAACAAAGATTGGTTGAATTGATCGGGTTCTTCACAGATCATGTCAAATCACTTCTGGAGCTGACTACACAAAGTTGCAGAATGCCTTTGGTTTGGAATTGATCTGAATGAATGATTGGAGGACAAAATTGGACTAATAAGTTGTATGATTTGGAAAAAAGTAGCTTTATAGATATCGCGTTACTCTTACAGGAATTGGGGTATTTGATAAGTTTGCTATTGGCTGCTTTCCTGCTTCTTTGATATCATCATCAATATCCTGGGAGTTACGATTGACCAGGAAATGAATGGAACTAGCCATAGCATTACTGTGGTTACAAGAGCTGGTCAGAGTCTGGGAATCCTGCAGTGAGTAACTCACTTCCTGTCTCCCTAGAGCCTGTCCTTTATCGACAAAGCACAAGTCAGGAGTGTGATGGAACACTCCTCACTTTCCTGGATGCTGCAATAATGTCCAAGAAGTTTGACATCCAGTGCAAAGCAACCCACTTGATTGGCACCACATCCAGTGCCTTCAACATTCACTCCCTTCACTACCTAAGCACAGCATGTACCATGTACAAGATTCACTGCAGCAAATCATTGAGGCTCCTCCAAAAGCACCTTCCAAACCCACGACTTCTACCACCGAGAAGGATAAGGGCAGCAGCTATATTGGAAAACCGCTCTCTGCAAGTTCCCTTTCAAGCCACTCACCATCCTGACTTGGAACTGTCACTGTTCCTTCACTGTTGCTGGGTCAAAATCCTGGAGCACCCTCCCTGAAAGCATATCCCACAAATGAATAATAAAATAAATGTTGACCTAATGATCTGGTAATTTATTTGCAGTGCATCAAGACATATAATTCGGACTGGCTGCTGGTAAACTACAAATGTGAAGGCTATGCAGGGGATTTCAGATCACTGCCAAGGTGACACTTTTACTTCAGCTTGTTATAAATAAACACTTTCAGAAGAATCCAAGCTACAGCCCTGAGCTCTGACATGCTGCTCGAGCCTCCTTTGCCATTCAATAGTATCGTGGCTGATCTGTGGTCTAACTTCGTATGCCAGCCTTGGGTCCATATCCCTTGATACTCTTGTTTAATAAAAATTTGTCTATCTCAGATTGAAATTTAACAATTGATTTAGCATCAACTGCCATTTGAGGAAGACAGTTCCAAACCTCCGCTACTCTTTACATGTAGAAATTCTTTCTAACATCTATCCTGATTGCCCCTAATTCTGAGATTATGCCCCAGTTCTAGAATCTTCAACCAGTGGAAATAGTTTATCTTTATCTATTTGGTATTTTCGTATTAATATCCAGAAGACCTTAATTAGATCTCCCCTTAACCTTTGAAATTCTAGAGAAAAAGGCCTAATTTGTCTAATCTCTCCACATAACTTTACCCTTAAAGTCCAGGTATCATCCTTGTAAGCCTGTGTTGAACTCCCTCCAGAGCCAAAACATCCTTTGTTGCTTCTGTCTCTGGTTATAGGCTGTCCGCTAATATTAACTACAAACCCTTGGTTCCCCATGGTTTGAAATAATCATCGAATCCTTACCGTGCGAAAAGAGGCCATTTGGCTCACTGAGAACACACCCACCCAGTCACCCATCTTATCTCCTGGAACCCTGCTTGTCCGAAGGCTAATTCCCTATCCTGTACATCCCTGGACGCTATGGGCAATTTAACATCGCCAATCACCTAACCTGCGCATCTTTGAACTATGGGAAGAAACGAGACAACCCCAAGGAAACCCACGTAGACACGGGAAGGATGTGGAAGCTCCATACAGACAGTTAACCGAGGATGGAATCGAACCCGGGTAACTGGCACTGTGAGGCAGTGATGCTAACCATTGTGCTGTCATGCCATTCTTGAACCACTATTCACAAATTAGGATATTTGACATTTTGTGATTGAAGTCGTTAATGAATATTGTCAATAATTGAGGCCTCACCAGTTATAACATGCCAATTTGAGTAATTACCCATTATTCTAACTTTCTGTTTCCTGCCACTAAACCAATTTCTAATCCATATCAATAATTTGCCGTCCATTTCATGGGCTTTCCCTTAGCTAATGGTCTCTTATGCAGGACTTTAATAAAAGCCTTCTGCAAATCCATATAAACAACATCCATCAACGTACCTCTGTCCACTACCGTTGCCACCTCTTCAAAAAAACTCTGAGGCTTGCATGACCTACTCTTCATGAACTCATGCTGACTCTCCATGATCAACTGAAATTTTTTGAGGTGATCAGTTACCCTATCCTTGATTATAAACTCCAACAATTTCCTTACTGCAGATGTCGGGCTAACTGGACTGTAATTGCCTGGTTTTCCTCTGTCTCCCTTCTTAAAGAGTGGAGGGACGTGAGTAACTTTCCAATCCAGAGGAACACCACCTGAATCAGGGAAACCGGAACTGAATTCAGGGAATTCTGCTAATACTCTAACCATAATGTTTCAATGTGCTCTCCTCCCTCTTTTAACACACGTGGATGGAAACCATCAAGTCCTGGGGATTTATCACTCTTCTGTTCCATTAATTTCCCCACTGTTGAGGATTTATTTCAGCTAATTTTATGATTCTCTGTTAACTTTGGTACTGCTGGCAAGCTACCTTCCTTTTCTGCTGTGAATATTGAAGCAAAATATTCCCCATGGCTATTGGCAATAATCCCACTCTCGGCCTTCTGTGGGCCAATAGCACTCTTAACCAGTCCATTTCCCTTGTATAACTATTAAATCTCTTATTGTCTTTAGTAGACCTTGCAAGTTTCCTGTCATTTCAGCCGCTCTTATAAGCCGTTTTGTGGCTCTTCCTTGACCTTTGTATTTGTCCCATTCTGTGAAAGGCTTTTTATGTTTCATCAAACCTCTTATGGAAAATACTCACTTCAAAGAAGTTGTTATTGCAGAATTTAAGATTGTAAAGCTGTAGGATGTAGGATCAGAAGTAGATCGTTCAGCCCATAAAATTTTCTCTGCCTTTCAATGAGACCGTAGCTAATCTGATAATCCTCAACTCCACTTTTCCACCTTTTCCGCATAACCCTTGACTCCCTTCCTGATTAGAAATATGTTGATATCAACCTTGAGTATACTCAATGACCCAAAATTTCACAGATTCACTGCCCACTGAGAGAACTTAGTGGCCACTTTGAAGCCTAGTGAAGAGGCTCCCTGGCATGTGGCCGACTGGTTGATCAGCTCAGTTGTTGTGTCTTTAGTGATATTTAAGTGGAAGTTGCTCAGTTCCTGTGGCCTGAGTAGAAGAAAACTAAGCGTAGAGACTGTGTTGCATAACAAATGCTCAATTCTTGTTATTCCAAGTTGGCCTGACCAACAGAAAAGTCTGCTTCCATCACATGTTCATAAACATTCCCCATGATATTGCTCTCCTGATGTTGCACTATTATGTAGCGCAGAGTCCCAGAATCATAGAAGAAATATAAAAGGCCATTTAGTCTGTTGTGTTTGCACCAGCCTTTTGAATGAGCATTATGACCCAATGCGATTCTCTTGCTTTCTCCCCACACCCTGAATATTTTTTCTAAATAAGTAATTGTATGGAATGCCTCAGTTGAACCTGCCGCTACTATGTTTTCAGGCATTGAGTTCCAGACCCTGACTACTCGCTGTGTGAAAATTCATTTTCTCATATCACATTTGCTTCTTTTGCACATTATCTGAAATCTCCGTCCCCTTGTTCCTGATCCTTTGTGATGGGACAGTTTTTCCCTGTCTACTCTGTGCATTACACACAGGTTCCAGACAATGTATAGTTTGGCCATTGCCAGTAGTGGGGCCTGTCCAGTTAACAGATTCTTAATCTGAGCTTAATTGGACGGCAGCCCTTCTTTACCAGCTTTTGAGGTTAATTGGAGTTGCTTTTAAGTGATTGCTAAGGAATGTCAACTCTTTCCCTATGCTTCTGTTTTTGGGGTGTGTGCTGAGGGGAAAAAATAGCTGCATCTCTGTAACAACATGTAATGTGCAATAAAATGGAAAAGACAAAGTCCACTTAATATCCAGTCTGTTTGTGCTCTCTCCCACCTTAATTGATTGAGTTGTAATTTGAATATAAAGTGACATAGAGGTAAAGAGAGGGGAGTCCCTGACATTTTTCCACAATAGGATTTAATCCTCTGATGTAATTTTGCTGTACTCTCAAATCATTTCTGTCTCTCTAAGCAAGATTGCTGTGCTTCTTTTTTTGTTCGTTGTAGCAAGGGGCATCAGCCAGACAAGTTGCCCATGCAGCTTTATGAAGTTGATGAAGATGTGGATAAAGATGAGGTAGGTGATCTCACTTTCAGTGCTAAACATGTCAATCTTTATGTTCAGTGATGAGCTGTTTGTTGTAAGGATACAATAAAGTTTGTCTTGCATAGAGTGCAGAGTTAATGAAGGTAGCACATCACAGTATCCTGTTAACTCTCTATAATGTGTGACAACTTGTGTATGTGCAGCCCCCATGGGAGTGGAGGTTGGAATAGCCATGGCTGGAGAACTAGGCCAGGGCGTGGTTTCAGAAGAGGGAGCAGTGTTGTGGCTGAGAGAGAATAAGAAGATGAGGAATGCTGGAAAAAGATTAGAAATACACTTGATGGTCATTGGAGTGAAGTACAATGTAGTCAGGTGTATGAAGGGAAGCATCTTTCTGTTTCCCTATTTTTATCTTTTGATTTCGGCTCTCTCCTTGGAGTTTCTATGCACATCTGCTGCCATCCCCCACGCAAAAATATGGTGAGGCTACCTCTTCCATCATTGCATGGTCAACTCTTCCTTTCTATCTAACTATGTTGAACTGAATTCACTGTCGGCTGAACACATTGCTTCATCCAGCTGATTTCCTCTTCTTACCGAGTGCTCCTTTGTCCCTGATTTTACATTTCTCCTGATTGCCGGAGCCAAGGATAGCAAATGGCCCTTTCAAAGGTACCAATTGTGCCTTTGCAACTTTAGATTCTATATCACATTGATGTCCTTTTCCAAAGGTGGAAAATTACATCACCCTAGTTTTATGTTGATGTGCACTGCACTATTCATCTGTATCTCACAACACTATAAATTCAGGAGCAGAATTAGGCCATTTAGCCCATCGAGTCTGCTCCACCATTCAATGAGATCATGGCTGATTTGATAACCTTCAGCTTCATATTCATGCCTTTTCGCCATAAACCCTTGATTCCCTTACAGGTTAGAAATCTGTCTGTCTCAGCTTTAAGCATACTCCATGACCCAGAATCCCACAGATTCACTGCCCTTTCAGAGAAGAAATTTCCTCATCTCTGTCTTAAACAAGTGACTCCTTACTCTGAGACTCTCCCTCACAACAGGAAACAATCTCTCCTCCTATAGCTTGCCAAGCCCTCTAAGAATCTTCCATTTCCATAAGGTTGTTTCTCATTCATCTGAACTTGAGTGAGTAAGGACCCAACCTACTAAAGATCTCCCCATAGTAAAATACCCCTAAATCAACCTAGTGAACCTCCTCTGGATTGCTTCTAATGCCAGCATGTAATTCTGGGCCCCAGAGCCATTCACGGTATTCTGGCTGTGGTCTGACTGGTACCTTCTATAATTTTAGTAACCCCTCCCTTGTTTTGTAATAAAGGCCAACAGTCCGTTTGCCTTCCAATAAACCCACTGAACTTGGAAGCTTGCCTCTGTGATTCATCCATGCCCAAATCCCACTGTTCTGTTGCTTTCTGCAGTCTTTTCTCACTTAGAAAACATTGACTGGTCTTCCTGCCAAAGTGCATGACCTCTCAGTTTACCACATTATATTCCATCTGCCAAATGTTGCTTATTTTTGTTTTAAATAATTCCCATGCAGTGCCACCACATCCTTTTGCTTCGTAAGCCTATCTTATCTCCCTTCCTAAGCCCTCTGCCCCGCCTATTTCAAATGAGTACAGTGAAAATCCAGAGGTTGCCAGTTATGTATCTTAGATACAAAGGTACCTCGGTACAGATTCTTAAGTACAAATTCTTGGGGGAAAGAAATTAGAAAAATAAAGAAATAAATAATCCAGCATTACAGATCATAGGAATATTTTAGAAAATAAGAGAAATATAAAGTTCAGAACAACAGTCCTTCTAACCCAGTCCATGCAGCTTCTAACCTCTAGTCTGTGCTGCAGGTGAATGGAACTAGTTCAGTTTAGGATACCTGGTTGGCATGAATAAGTTGGGTCCATGCTGTATGACTCAATGACTGAGGCTCCTTGAGGCATGGAGTTCTCAGTGTGACACTGGCTATGTAAATACACTGGGCTTTTTGTTTATGCCTAATGCTTTTCTTGCAGGATGCTGCGTCGATTTGCTCACAGAAAGGAGGAAATATTAAGGAAGGCTGGCTGTACAAAGCCAACATGAACAGCACTATCAGTGTTACAATGAGGGTAAGTTGGTGGGACAGACGTGAGACCAGACATAAATGATGCAGAACAGAAACTGTTTCAAACTCCCCCACTCGGCAGGCACGCAACAAAGTCTCTCTCCTCTGTGGGTGTGGGTGGGAATGGTTTGTGTGATACAGTTTCTGATTTCACCCTCTTGCCAAAGATCGGATTGTGCCAGTGACCAGCGGCACATGTGACTAACTTCACTGCCACAGTCGGTGAAATGTTTATGTCTGAAAGCCACTTAAATATTGCAACCTCAATATTTCACAAAATGAACTGATTCAAAAGAAGAAATGAGTTTAATCTAGAATAAGCATGTATTTAATAGAAGGGTGTGGGCTGTGGAAATTGTGGGCCATTTGTTCATTAATAAGCAGTAAACTTTAGTGCTTGATGATGTAGCCTTTGTCTGACAAGGCCTTTAACAGTGGGTTTGTGTCCCCCTCCCCGATACAGACTGGGGGTATGTCTGTCTGTCTATCAATACACCCATTTCTGTAGGTTTAACTGAACTGCTACTGCTCGAACTTGAATGCCTAGAGACTTGAGGGAAGCAAACGGGTTTGGATCAGTTCAGAGGTTATAGCATTTATGCGACACAGAAGGAGATCCTTCAGCCTATCTTGTCTATGCTGGTTGTCAAGCACCTATGTAATTTAGTTCCGTTTTCCAGCACTTGGCCCATAGCCCTCATGCTGTGGCATTTTAAATGTTCATCTAAATGGATCTTAAATATCTTGATGGTTTCTGCCTCTCCCACTCTTACAGGTGGGTGAGTTCCAGGTTCCCAACACCCTCTGGGTGTAAAGGCTCTTCCTTAAAATCCTGCCTCCTTGCACTAAATCTGTAGCCCCTAGATATTGATCCCTCCACAAAAGGGGAAAAGTTTCTACCATCTATCTTATCTACACCTCTCATAATTTTGAAGACCTCAATCAGAACCAACCCCCTCCCCACTGCTCTCAGGAAAATGACCACTGGCTAGCCCGCCTCACTTCATCACTGAAAATCATTTCAGCCCAGGCAACACTTTGTGAATCTCTCCTGCACCCCCTCTAGTCCATCACATCCTTCCTATAGTGTGGTGTCCAGAAATGCACACAATACTCCAGCTGTGGCCTAACTAATGTTATATATAGCTCCCTCATAGCCTCTCTGCTTTTGTAATCAGTCTCAATTAATAAAGGCAAGTGTTTCATATGGCTTTTTAACCAACTTTTCAACCTGTCCTATTGCCTTCAAGGATCTGTGGACATGCACACATTTGATCATCTGCACTTCCTAGGGTCCTACCATTCATCGTGTACCTCCTTTTGTCCCCCCAATATGCAACATCTCACAATTTTCAGGCTTAAATTCCATTTGCCACTGTTCAGTCATCCTAGAAGTGTACAGAATGTGCAGGATTGGCTTACAAAAAAGTAGGAAAATGAAAAGGGGACATGAAGAAACAGTGGCAATATAAAATACAGGAAAATCTAATGGCATTTTATAAGTATATTAGGAAGAAAAGGATAACCAGGGAAAGAGAAGGGCCCATTCAAGACCAAAGTGGCAAACTGTGTGAGGAGGGGAAGACATTGGTGAGATTACAATGTCGGGATTTGTATATCAGTGATATACTCGAACAAGTTACATTCGAGAGGGAGAGGGGTATCAGTGGTTTAAGCTGATTTATAATTGGCTAAATCTTCAGGCCCAGATGAGATGTATCCCTGGCTGCTGTGTGAGAAGATTGCAGGGACCCTGATGTTAACCTTCAAATAATAACACTATAGAGGTCCTTCTTACCCAGAGGAACTCTCTCTCTCACTGTTTTCTAATACATTAAAGCTCTTCTCAAGTGAGTTGCATTCTGAGGCATTCGTCACTACCATCTTGCTTGCTTCCCTCTTACTAGTGGTCATTCCCCATTACCCTCTCTGACTGTACTTCCTGTGGGGTGGCCACAGCTAAAAACTTGCTGTTTGCATAATTCTGAGCCTCATGACCCACAGCTGTATCTCCAGTGATGCTGAAATTCCAAAACCTGGTGCTCAAGCTGATTAAACCAGTGGCACTTCTGTAGATGTGATCATCCAGACTGCAAAGACTTACCTCATAACTACAGGCTGTGCTACACACAGGACTGAGCTCCCTTGCCATAACTTCATTTATATTTTGGTTAAGAGTAATTTAATTTAAGTAGAAAAATTGCTTATACAAGAAAAATTCTGAACTGTAGAGTAGTAGAAAGCAGTTTCTTTTTGTCCATACCGACAAGTTATTTCTCTCCAGTGTCCACAAATTCTTTCTTCCCCTGTTCTAGTTTAGAAGTTTAAATTTTCAAGTTTACTAGAGTCTCTAGCTGCAACTCCTCAACAATTGATCATCTCAGGACTTTACTGTGATGTCAATGCAGCACTCATTCCAAACTCAGCCAAGTAGCTCAGAGCAGTGCTCTCTCGCCAGTTCGACTCCTCTCTCCCCCCTGAAAGGAAGTGACTTTAAGCAAAATGCCAAATTGCTTGGCAAGCAGTCTGAGATTTTCCAAAAGATTAACCCCTTAAACTTAACACTCTTCCCTCTCCTTTCACCAAACTCAGTGTTTGCAGCGTACTCCCTCACAGCCTGTCATGGGTCTTCACATCTCCGACTAATCGAGTCAGTGGCAGAAAAGGGTCGGATTTATATTTGATTAAACTTAGAAAATCATAGAATGTCTACAGTGTGCAAGCAGGCCATTTGGCCCATTGATTCCACACCAACCTTCCGAAGAGTATCCCACCCAGACACACCCCCTGTACCACATTCTTGTGAGCCTGCATTTCCCATAAACTAACCTGCACATCCCCAGACCCAATGGGCAATTTAGCACGGCCAATCCATCTAACCTGCACATCTTTGTGACTGTGGGAGGAAACTGGAGCACCTGGAGGAAACCCATGCAGACACAGGGAGAACGTGCAAACACCATGCAGGCAGTCACCCAAGGCTGGAATCAAACCTGGGCCCCTGGTGCTGTAAGGCAGTAGTGCTAACCACTATGCCACCGAGTGGCTGCAAGAGCAGCAACTTTGATTTCTGGGGCACTGTTATTTAACTTTAAGAAGAACGGTCAGCAACAGCTCGGGTGGGGATAAAGGGAGGCAGAGAGTTAGGACGAATAACTGAAGATGCAGCCTATGAGAAAGGATCATGAAGCGAGGGGGCTAATACAGTAGGCTGACTGGCAGATAGCAGGACTTAGCAATCAGCAACGCAGAACAGCAATCAACCATTGCTCCCCCATTGATTCTGGTTACTGATCTACAGGCATTGTCCTTGATTACTTACTGCTGGATATAGATACAAAGCACACTAAATACACACTACAGAAGCTGAGCTGTGATAAGCATGAATGCAGATAACTTGTAGCTCCAGAGTAATTTGAAACTCTTGTAAATTAAACTGCTTCATGTTTAGAATCTAGTGACAACTCTACATTGCTGTGAGATGTAGAAAATATACAACAGTGAAAAGGGACAAAGCTGCTACTGGCAAAAGATGCACACGCCCACAGAGAGAGATGGGCACACACAGTCAGAAACACATACACACACAAACATACATAGGCAGACACAGCAATACAGACATGTGCAAAGAGAGGGACACACACTCTGTGTGCATAGGCAGGTATGCATGTGCTGTAGTCCTAAGTGAGGCTGGTAAATGATACAAGTGAACTGAAGAGAGGATGATAGCTCTGCAGCTAAAAGATTAAATTCTTGAACTGTTCCCTTGGTTGTTTTTTTTTAAACATTCCATGCACATTTTTCAGAGCATTCTCACTGAATTTCCTGCTATCTATGTTTGAGATTGTTCAACGCTGGCAAAACCACCATTTATTTTGCAAGGAGAGGTGAATATCTCCCACATGAATGTGCGACAGGAGTGACAGATAAGACAGACTGAATAAACATGGTAGTTACAGTTTTCCTTCCATAAAGGTCATTAATACATCAGCCTTTTAATGAAAATTCAACAGTTTCCTGGTCACTTCCACTGCTCCTGGACTTTTTTTTCCTTGCTGATTTAACTAGATTACCAGTGCAGTCAGGTAATTACTTTGCTACTGTATCTTAACCAAGGAAAGTAATATTTGGGCACATGAATGTAAATTCTTTCTTGGCCAGTTTTATCTGGGCTGCTGTGAGTGAAATTTGAACTTGTTGTTCATGAACCTATGGATTGCAGAGTCATTGGAGAACAGAAGAAGGCCTTTTGGTCTATCATGTCCATACCAGTTCTCTGGAAAAGAGTCTGCCCTATTCCCGTGCTCTATCTAAAATGTTGAATGTACCTTTGAGAGATCTACCTCTGACCTGTGCCCAGGAAGAGCAATGTCCTCTAGCTGACCGATACGGTGATGTCACCCCAGAGGATATTTTTTCCCCCAAGTTGCTTACAATGAATGAAATAAAGTGTTGGTCAATCACCAAATATAAAAGAAAGATAATCAGGAAATTCAACAACTAGTTCTAGACTCCCATCATGAATTCCAGTCTCCTGCAGAGTCTGGGGAACTCAGTTTGTAAATCTTATCTGCGATACTGGTGTTAGAATCTGACAGAGGGAGCAGGGAGAAAAAGGACAGGAAGTTGACTGACTTACTGACTGAACAAACATTCAACTTTGATTTAAATATTTGACATCTTCACAAGCAGAGAGCATGTGCATGATGCCATCAGAGAGTGACATGCACTGAGTTAGTCTTTTTTCGGTCCCAGAGGATTAGATTAGAGGGCCACAAAATGCAAGGATATAGACCCATGCTTCTTAATATTTTCTGTCAGTTTAGCTGTAACTATTGTACCTCAGTCATAATGATCTCTAACCTGGGATCTGGAGTCTCTGGCAGGAGTTATAGTGCTGAGCCAGACTGTAGCAGAGAGTTTCAGTTGATACAACACGGGCATTTTATTCGGAAAGCCCATCAAATTTGTCTGCATGAGTTATTGAGAGCAGTAGAGGTGTGAATGTTCCCACAGAATTCGACATTCAACGAATGTTTCCTTTTCCAGGTGTTCAAGAGGCGATTCTGTTACCTGACTCAACTTTCAGATGGCTCATACATCCTCTATTTTTGTAAAGACGAGAAGGTCTGTAAGGAGTCCAAAGGATCCATATTCTTGGACTCTTGCATCGATGTTGTGCAGGTACAACACACACACGTGTGCTGGTTAGTTTCTGAATCTATGGAACAGAGGAAAATGAAACACTCGGGGTCCTCACCTACATTAGGTCAAAATTAAATCACTGAAAACCTTTATCCATCTCCATTGTCTCCTGGTTTAAGGGTCCAGACAGCAAGAATGTGTAACACTTGGGTTTCCCTTTGCTATGTTCTATTGCCGTGATTCAGAACTAGGATCTTGGAGATTAATATTACAATTACATCATTATATCCAATAGTTACGTCTGATTTAAAAGGGATTGCAGCCCCTGATAATTCGCCCACCAGAGGGAATCCATTTAAGTCATTGCATAACAATCCCTGTAAATCCCTTAGTAAAGGTCACACACTAATCTTCTAAACTCAAGGGAGTACAAGCTATATTTGTGCAAATTATACTTACAGATTAACGTCCCAAGTCCCAGTTACCATTCTGGTGAATCTGTCTTATATCCCTATTCGAGGTCAATATGAACACCACCACAGATGCAGTACTGGGAACTGAGTGCAGTGCTACAGCCTGCCGAGTGGCAAGTAACTTTTGCGCCATGCAAATGCCAGGCAATGACCATCACCAATAAGAGACAATCTGACACACCCCCTTGACATCCAATGGTGTTACCATCACTGAATTCCCCACAATTAACATTCTAGGGGTTATCATTGACCAGAAATTCAACTGATTCACCACATAAACACAGTGGCAACAAGAACAGGTCAGAGCCTAGGAATACTGCAGCGAGTAACTCACTTCCTGACTCCCCAAAGCCTGTCCACCGTCGACAAGGCATAAGTCAGGAGTGTGATGGAATACTCTCCACTTGCCTGGTGGGTGCAACTCCAATAACACTCATGAAGCTTGACACCATCCAGGTCAAAGCAGCTGCTTAATTGGCACAACATTCACAAGCATCCACTCCCTCCACCACCGACGCTCAGTAGCAGCCGTGTGTGCCATCGTCAAGATGCATGTAAAAATTCACCAAAGATCCTCAGACAGCCCCTTCCAAACCCACGACCACTTCCATCTAGAAGGACAAGAGCAGCAAATACATGGGAACACCAGCACCTGCAAGTTCACCCCCCTCAAGTCACTCACCATCCTGACTTGAAAATATATCACCGTTCCTCCACTGTCGCTGGATCAAAATCTTGGAATTCTCTTCCTAATGGCATTTGGGTCAACCTACAGCAGGTGGATTGCAGCGGTTTAAGAGGGCAGCTCAAACCACCTTCTCAAGGGCAACTAGGGATGGGTAATAAATGCTGGCCAGCCAGCGACGCCCACATCCCACACAAATGAATTTAAAAAGAAAAAGCCTTAGAACAAGCTAACAAGTTGGTTGGAAAACTAAAAGATTTGTTGGTTACAGGGAGGGTATGAAACTTTCCAAACCATTTTCCATCAGCAAAATAGTAATTTATTTCTATGCAAGAAATGGAAGAGATCACTGAAATGAAACCTGAAGCAATTTGGGAGCTGCTGCGTCTTACGTAGAATCTCCCAAAATTCACAACACTGAAAACAGGCTGTTCAGCACAACTCATCTACGTCCTGCTAAATGCAGGTCTCCACTCATCTTCACCTCAGTCTTCAACATGTCCCTATAATCCTTTCTCCCTCAGCACTTACCTAGTTTCACCTTAAAGACATCTTTACTATTCACCTCAACCATTCTGGTTTGGTAGCAAGTTCTCCATTCTCACTCAATTTTATTCCCCTGCCTAAAGAGGTTACTCCTGATTTCCCAATCGGATTGATTAGTGACTGTCTTATATTGATGGCCCCTGCTTTTGGACTTCTCTTAGTTGAAATATCTTTTTAGTATTTACTCTATCAAATACATGCTTCACGTTAAAAACCTAGCAGACCGCTTCTCGGTCACCCTGATTAGAATGTTTTCTCCATTCTCGGCACATCCTTGGAAATCTTTTCTGAAACCTCCCGGTGTTGATCTGTCCTGTTTGTAATATGGAGGCCATGATTGTGCATGGTACTCTACACATGGTCAAATCAAGGTTTTGCATTCGTTAAAAATAATTTCTCTGTTTGAAAAATTGACCCCTCCTTTAAAAAAAGTTTCCCTTGCAAATAAATTACTTAGTTAATTGAAACACTTCTGTGCTGATCACATTGTCCCTACCCAAACAAAGGCTACAATATGGAGACTGTAAGGACTGCAGATGCTGGAAGCTAGAGTCAATAAATGTAGAGCTGGAAAAGCACAGCAAGTCAGATAGCGTCCAAGGAACAGGAAAGTCAATGTTTCGGGTCAAAACCCTTCATCCGGACTGGAGATGGGGAGGAGGGCCCAGAAATAAATTAGGGGGATGGGGGTGGGGCTGGGGGTAGGGCTGATGAGGTGGAGATAAGTGGTGCAGGTATAAGTTATATGGTTGGTTAGTGGGAAGTGTGGAGTGGATAGGTGCATAGGAAGGTGGTCAGGTTGGGGAGGAGAGATTTTGAAGCTGGTGAAGTCAGTAGACAGCTACAATATCTTGTATCATGAACAGGTTTCTTTGAACAGGCAATATTATTGGACACAGAGCCAATGCAGCAATTCTTTGATGAGAAGGGTCTATATCACAAGCACGGGAGTACTTGGGGAATTAAACGGAGCTTGGTCTAAGGCTGTTATTAATCTGACCACAAGCTGTTCCAAACCCCGTTTCTGCTTGGTATTTCTTGAAAGTATCTGTAACAGAACCTGTTGGGGCAATAGATCATCTGTACACCTGGTGTTTCTGTTCCCAGTGTTCGAAGATGCGCCGCTATGGCTTTGAACTCCGAATGCAGGAGAAATGTAGCTGTCACCTAGCAGCTGAGAGTGAGCAGGAGATGGAAGAATGGATAACAACCCTGCGAAAGATCATTCAGAGTAATGTTGACAGCGTGTTGTCCGAGAGACGGAATGGTGAACCCTCTGAGGCAGGACTAGGTAATTAAACCTTAAAGTATTTATTCAATGAAGTGAATAAATAATGAATAACCTGAGTGAACAAGCAAGCATGCGAGAGAGCTGCTTTGACCAATGTTAGAGGGAGGATGCAATTCCGGTCCTAGTCCTAATCCTTCGTTAGTTTCTATAAAGCTTTAATTCAATCAGGATGATGATATTGGACAGTTATGTAGGTCTCGGACTGTATCAGGTTCAACAGTGAGAGCAAGTTAGCCAGGTTTCCTTAGTCAGCAAAGCTTATGACAAATAAAACTTTCGCAAAGAAAGATGAAAAGATTATTGACCAACAGTTTGGAGTATGCATATATATGGAGCTACCCTTCCTAACAAAAAACATATACAGTAAGAGGAGAAACCAAAGAAAAATGAAAAAACGGCAGTGTTTTCTTAAAATACTTTGAATGAGTGACATTTAAATTCAGGAGAAATAGATACATCATGGACTGTCCCAATTGGTATTTTTTATCCAAAGTTATTCTGCGCACGAGCCGTTGGCAATGAGCTGTCTTGTGGAATGGTTGTAGCTAGCAGAATTCCCTCTGCTGGAGGAAGTAAGATAGATTCCAAACTCCTCTTCAAGAACCCTCCATGTGAGAAAGGTGATTCCAGTGGATTTTCAGGTCTCGCACATTGTCGACAGGAGTAATGAGGAGGGGTGGGGGGAGAGAGAGAGAGAGTAAAATGAGAGAGAGCCACTCCTGTTTCCCCTCTGACTGGGTTCAAAATGCCATAACCTTATTCGACATATAAACTGGGCCAAGTGACTTCTCTGACAGTCTTGTAGACTGGATGTCTCTGTCCGAACCACTGCTTCTTCCAGAGACAACATTGTTGCTTTTTCATCCTGTGCCTGTTTTCTTTGAAAATTGTCCTTTGTTAAAATCTCAAGATATGTAATGAGTTTTTGGAATTCTCTTCCTGAAAAGGCAGTGGAAGCAGAGCCTTTGAATTATTTTTATCGCAGGTTACTGCCAGATTGGAGGTAAGTTATGGGACAAAAGATTATCAGAGGGAGGTGATGATGTGGACTTGGAGTTGCAGTCGGATCAGCCACAGTCTTATTAAATGGTGCATGGCCGACTCATACTCCTCGTTCATATGGAGCATGACCGATGGAGTTTCACGTGGAGAACTGTACAGAAATGCAATTGAGAGGATTAAGTTTAAAAAAAACGTAAAAGGTCCAACTTTGAAAAATGTAGACAAGAAAGCAGACCTTGGTATCCAATTCCATAAATCATTGACCAGAATCCCCAAAACAAATCATTTGTTGTTTTGCACCCTTGTTTGTTTGTGAAATCTTGCCATGCACATTCATTTACCTCATCGTCCCTGCCTTTGAGGGCTGTCAGATTCTCTGGATGTAAGGTGGTTAGAACATAGAACTTTACAGCGCAGTACAGGCCCTTCGGCCCTCGATGTTGCGCCGACCTGTGAAACCAATCTGAAGCCAATCTAACCTACACTATTCCATTATCATCCATATGTTTATCCAATGACCATTTAAATGCCCTTAAAGTTGGCGAGTCTACTACTGTTGCAGGCAGGGCATTCCACGCCCTTACTACTCTCTGAGTAAAGAACCTACCCTGACATCTGTCCTATATCTATCACCCCTCAATTTAAAGCTATGCTCCCTCGTGCTAGCCATCACCATCCGAGGAAAAAGGCTCTCGCTGTCCACCCTATCTAATCCTCTGAGCATCTTGTATGTCTCTATTAAGTCACCTCTTAACTTTCTTCTCTCTAACGAAAACAGCCTCAAGTCCCTCAGCCTTTCCTCATAAGACCTTCCCTCAATACCAGGCAACATCCTGGTAAATCTCCTCTGCACCCTTTCCAATGCTTCCACATCCTTCCTATAATGCAGCGACCAGAACTGTACGCAATACTCCAAGTGCGGCCGCACCAGAGTTTTGTACAGCTGCAACATGACCTCATGGCTCCAAAACTCAATCCCTCTAACAATAAAACCTAACACACTGTATGCCTTCTTAACAACCCTATCAACCTGGGTGGCAACTTTCAGGGATCGATGCACATGGACACCGAGATCTCTCTGCTCATCCACACTACCAAGAATCTTACCATTAGCCCAGTACTCTGTATTCCTGTTACTCCTTCCAAAGTGAATCACCTCACACTTTTCCGCATTAAACTCCATTTGCCACCTCTCAGCCCAGCTCTGCAGCTTATCTATGTCCCTCTGTAACCTGCAACATCCTTCCGCACTATCCACATCTCCAACGACTTTGGTGTCATCCGCAAATTTACTAACCCATCCTTCTACGCCCTCATCCAGGTCATTTATAAAAATGACAAACAGCAGTGGCCCCAAAACAGATCCTTGTGGTACACCACTAGTAACTGAACTCCAGGATGAACATTTCCCATCAACCACCACCCTCTGTCTTCTTACAGCTAGCTAATTTCTGATCCAAACCGCTAAATCACCCTCAATCCCATGCCTCCGTATTTTCTGCAATAGCCTACCATGGGGAACCTTATCAAACGCTTTACTGAAATCCATATACACCACATCAACCGCTTTACCCTCATCCACCTGTTTGGTCACCTTCTCAAAGAACTCAGTAAGGTTTGTGAGGCACAACCCACCCTTCACAAAACCGTGTTGACTATCCCTAATCAAATTATTCCTTTCTAGATGATTATAAATCCTACCTCTTATAATCCTTTCCAACACTTTACCACAACCGAAGTAAGGCTCACTGGTCTATAATTACCAGGGTTGTCTCTACTCCCCTTCTTGAACAAGGGGACAACATTTGCTATCCTCCAGTCTTCTGGCACTATTCCTGTAGACAATGACGACATAAAGATCAAAGCCAAAGGCTCTGCAATCTCCTCCCTAGCTTCCCAGAGAATCCTAGGATAAATCCCATCCAGCCCAGCGGACTTATCTATTTTCACACTTTCCAGAATTGCTAACACCTCCTCCTTATGAACCTCAATCCCGTCTAGTCTAATAGCCTGTATCTCAGTATTCTCCTCGACAACATTGTCTTTTTCCTGTGTGAATACTGACGAAAAATATTCATTTAGCGCCTCTCCTATCTCTTCGGACTCCGCGCACAACTTCCCACTACTGTCCTTGACTGGCCCTAATCTTACTCTAGTCATTCTTTTATTCCTGACATACCTATAGAAAGCTTTAGGGTTTTCCTTGATCCTACCTGCTAAAGACTTCTCATGTCCCCTCCTGGCTGTTCTTAGCTCTCTCTTTAGGTCCTTCCTGGCTAACTTGTAACTCTCAAGCGCCCTAACTGAGCCTTCATGCCTCACCTTTACATAAGCCTCCTTCTTCCTCTTGACAAGAGATTCAACTTCTTTAGTAAACCATGGTTCCCTCGCTCGACCACTTCCTCCCTCCCTGCCTGACAGGTACATACTTATCAAGGACACACAGTAGCTGTTCCTTGAACAAGCTCCACATTTCAATTGTGCCCAGCCCCTGCAGTTTCCTTCTCCATCTTATGCATCCTAAATCTTGCCTAATCGCCTCATAATTGCCTTTCCCCCAGCTATAACTCTTGCCCTGCGGTATATACCTATCCCTTTCCATCGCTAAAGTAAACGTAACCGAATTGTGGTCACTATCACCAAAGTGCTCACCTACCTCCAAATCTAACACCTGGCCTGGTTCATTACCCAGTACCAAATCCAATGTGGCCTCGACTCTTGTTGGCCTATCTACATACTGTGTCAGGAAACCCTCCTGCACACATTGGACAAAAACTGACCCATCTAAAGTACTCGAACAATAGCGTTTCCAGTCAATATTTGGAAAGTTAAAGTCCCCCATAACAACTACCCTGTTACTTTCACTCCTATCCAGAATCATCTTTGCAATCTTTTCCTCTACATCTCTGGAACTTTTCGGAGGCCTATAGAAAACTCCCAGCAGGGTGACCTCTCCTTTCCTGTTTCTAACCTCAGCCCATACTACCTCAGTAGACGAATCCTTGTCAAACGTCCTTTCTGCCACCATAATACTGTCCTTGACTAACAATGCCACACCTCCCTCTCTTTTACCACCTTCCCTGATCTTACTGAAACATCTGAACCCCGGAACCTGCAACAACCATTCCTGTCCCTGCTCTATCCATGTCTCAGAAATGGCCACAACATCGAAGTCCCAGGTACCAACCCATGCTGCAAGTTCACCCACCTTATTCCGGATGCTCCTGGCGTTGAAGTAGACACCTTCCTGCCTGCCGGTACACTCCTGCGACCTTGAAACCTTATTCATGACCTCACTACTCCCAACCTCCTGTACACTGGAGCTACAATTCAGGTTCCCATCCCCCTGCTGAATTAGTTTAAACCCTCCCGAAGAGCATTAGCAAATTTCCCCCCCAGGATATTGGTACCCCTCTAGTTCAGGTGTAGACCATCCCGTTTGTCGAGGTCCCACCTACCCCAGAATGAGCCCCAATTATCCAGGTATTTGAATCCCTCTCTCCTGCACCATTCCTGTAGCCATGTGTTCAACTGCTCTCTCTCCCTATTCCTCGCCTCGCTCGCACGTGGCACGGGTAACAAACCAGAGATAACAACTGTTTGTTCTAGCTCTAAGCTTCCACCCTAGCTCCTTGAATTTCTGCCTTACATCCACATCCCTTTGCCTACCTATGTCGTTGGTGCCTATGCTGACCACAACTTGGGGCTGCTTCTCCTCCCCCTTAAGGATCCCGAAAACACGATCCGAGACATCACGGACCGTGGCACCTGGGAGGTAACGCACCAACCGCGAGTGTGTCTCTTTCCCACAGAATCTCCTATCTGTCCCCCTAACTATGGAGTCCCCAGTGACTAATGCTCTCCTCCTCTCCCCCCTTCCCTTCTGAGCAACAGGGACAGACTCTGTGCCAGAGACCTGTATCCCATGGCTTACCCCCAACAGTATCCAAAACGGTATACTTGTTATTGAGGGGAATGGCCACAGGGGATCCCTACACTGTCTGCCTGTTCCCTTTCCGTCCCCTGACTGTAACCCATCTACCTTTTTCGTGTACCTGAGGTGTGACTACCTCCCTGTAACTCCTCTCAATTATCCCCTCAGCCTCCCGAATGATCCGAAGTTCATCTAGCTCCAGCTCCAGTTCCCTAACGCAGTTTCCGAGGAGCTGGAGTTGGGTGCACTTCCCGCAGATGAAGTCAGTGGGGACACTAGTGGTGACCCTTACCTCCCACATTCTACAGGAGGAGCATGCAACTGCCCTAACATCCATTCCCACTGTTCTGAATTCTGAAAAAAAAAAACTAGTAACCTTACCAAATCGGCGCTCACAACCTTTTTTTTGGTTAGAGGAGGAGGATGGGTGGGAGACACTACCTAAGTAGTGTTTCGGGTAAAGCAACCGCCAAATATATTACCTCACTTACTCAGCCGTCCTGTGTCCGCTTCTGCTCAGCGTGCGCTCCGCCTATTCACGAGGTAAGTTTTTAAATGGATTAACTTACCTTCCTGGCAGTCCCCTGGTCCTCGCTCTCACTGCTCCCGCTGCTGCTGCAAAAATGGAGAAAACCATATGGTTGGATGAATAAGTGGTATAGAAATAAAAGTGTTGAGCACATGAGGAAAGGGATTGAGCTAGAAGTTTTAAAACTCTGATTAGAGCTCAGGTGGAGGCTGGGCACTGCTGTTCGGGATAGATGTGCAGGTTGTAGAGGAGATTTACCAGAATGTTACAAATGATGAGGGACTTCATGTCAGAGAGATGGGGAAAGTTAGGTTTGATCTCATTTGATTGGAGGTTAAAAGGTGACTGAATAGAAATATTCCAGAGGTGAGAGGTCTCAATAGGGTTGGTAAAGAAAAATTGCTCATTTTTAAAATTATTTATTCATGGGATGTGAATGCCACTGGCAAGGCCAGCATTTGTTGCCCATCCCAATTTCCCAGAGGGCAGTCAAGAGTCAACCACATTTCTGTGGGTCTGGAGTCACATGTAAGCCAGACCGGTTAAGGATGGCCATTTCCTTCCCCAAAAGACATTAGTGAACCAGATGGGCTTTTCCAACTATCAATCATGGGGGTCATGGTCATCATTAGACTCACAATTCCAGATTTCTTTTTACATATTAAATTCAAATTCTACTATCACCTATCATGGTCCCCAGAATATTACCTGTTCTCCAGATTAACAGTCCAGTGATAATACCACTAGGCCATCGCCTCCCTATATTGTTGTACGGATCGTTAGATTTCAAGTCGACAAAAGTTCTTGAGGGGAAATGAGAGAAATCTTTTCACGGAGTTGGCTCGGACAGGAATGTCTGGTCTGAAATGGTGGTGGAAGCTGACTCCATAAACATGTTAGAAGGGAGTTGAGAATGAGGACAGGTTACGGTTAAGAGGTCACTATGTAGAAGTCACTAAACATGGCTTGTCTTACAAACAGCTAGTACAGGCTCGACGGCTCAAAAGACCTTCCAGTGAGTTGCAGGTTTCAGTAATAAAGTTGTGAACTTTGCAACCTTTGTCAGAGATGCTGAGAGTCTTGTCTGCTGGCTGAGATTTGGCGAGATCCCCGTGTCACCTCTTTTTAGGAAGGCTAGCCGCATCATCTTCCACTCAGGCTTTTGGCTGGCCAGCACTGGGATTGAAGACCCCTCGCAGGGTTGTTAGCCAATCAGACACCAGCAGCCCTGTTGATCAGCAGTGAGACTGGTGAAGTTACAGCTAGTGGGGCAATTGGGGAGGTTACAGCTGGGCAATTGATTGGTGGGTAGGTAAAAGATTCCATCTGTTTTCATTCGACTGAAATGTTAAACTATGGACCAGGGTGCACTCCTTTGTGGGCATTAAAGACCCCATTGCATTTTTTGAAGAAGAGCATAGCCTGGTCAAATTTCATATCTTGACTAGTATCCCCAAAACAAATAATTTGTTGTTTTTCACCCTTGATGTTTGTGAAATCTTGCCATGCACATTCATTTACCTTCGTTGTCCCTGCCTTTTGAGGGCTGTCAGATTCTCTGGGCCATCCTGAGGCCTGGGTACTAGGCAAGTAGTTAGCCTGTTCTTCCTTAATTCTGCAGTTCACTGGAATGTGGTTCTTCTGAAAATGTGTGTTTGATTTCCAGATGAGGAGTCCTTTGGCCATGGGAAGTCTGAAAGCATGATGGAAAGTTTAGAGAAAAGTATGCATCCCGAGTTGATGAAGGTATTTTGAATTTGAATTAACTTTTTCCTAAGGCAGGAGAAAGTGTAGTGAGGTGTCTCAGTGGAGTTAAAAATTCATTAAAAACCAAAAGAACTGCGGATGCTGTAAATCAGGAACAAAAACAAAGTTGCTGGAAAACCTCAGCAGGCCTGGCAGCATCTGTGGAGGAGAAAACAGAGTTAACGTTTCGGGTCCGGTGACCCTTCCTCAGAACACTTAAAAATTCATTAAGTGTGTATAGTTCAAAGTGAGATTTTATGACTGATGTTGGTCAAATTGAAGGCGGTTCAAAATCCAGAAGACCATAAGATCTAGGAGCAGAAGTAGGCCTTTCAGCCTCTCGAGTCTGCTCTATTGATCTGATAACCTGCAACTCTATTTTCCCATCTTACCCCATAACCCTTGATTCCCTTTCTGATTAAAATCAATCTATCTCAGCCTTGGATATACTTAATGTCGCAGCCTTTACAGCTCTCTTTGGTAAAGAATTCCACAGATTGACTGCCCCTTAAGAGAAAAAGACGACTCCAGATCTGTCTTAAATGTGTGACCTCTTATTCTGAGATGATGCCTTTCATCCTATACTCACCCACAAACGGGGAAACAACCTCTCCACATCTACCCTTTTAAGTCCCTTATGTGTTCCAAGGTCTCCAATCATTCTTCTGAACTCCAGTGAGTACAAAGCCAACCAACTCAACCTCTCCTCATAAAGCAATCTCTCCATACCAGGGATCAACCTTGTGCACCTGCCTCCAACACCAGTATATCGTTCCTGAAATAAAAGGACCAGAACTGTTCACTCCAGTTGTGAACACAGTGATGGTTCTACTTATAAATTTCCTCTTATCTCAACTTTGTCTCAGTAAGGAATTACTGACTATTCCCAGTGCTGTCTCTAGACACTGGTCTTGAAATGAGGTAAATGGTGTTACATGTTGTATGTTTCTAGTATGCCCGAGAATCGGATTACCTTAACAAGCTCAGCAGGAATGAAGGCCGGTGTAAACTGTTTGCGATGGATCCAGAAGCACAGGTAGAAATGATGAATTATAGATTACTAATGCTTTGTAAAATCTGGGGTTTCAATTTGCTGAACCAAACTACGTGTTCTGTTGTTTTGCTTGGGCTTAACAAACACAATGTTTATCTCAGTGTTAATTAGGGACGGTTTGATAATTATGATAAAGAATTCTCTAGCATTTGTTTTTGGACCATATGCCATTTAAACATCCCTAGGGGAGAAAGAAATGATGACTTAATCGCTTTATTTACCTCTTTAGTATGCAAGATTAAATCAAATTAGTTGCCCAAGACCAAGAAACCCACTAACATTGCTTGACAGGGACTCTGACCAGCTTTACCTATAATATGCAAGGAAAATAGAAAGTCTGCTGAAATTCTGCCTTTGGTAAATGCTCTTTCTTGATATGCATCTTGATTGCTTGCTGAGCATTAAATATATATTCACAGTGCAGTTTTACAAACAAAAAGTTAGCAGATTCAACTCTGAATAGATTTGCTTTCTGTATTTATAACAAAACATGAGTATGTGGAAGTGTTTGGGAATTATGAACTGCAACACAATTAGTTAGACTTATTAAATGTGAATTGTAAGATATCTTTAACATTGAACATACAGTTAGATCATCAGGAAAGTTCCCTTTTATAGATTAAGTTGATTCAACTTACTTATTTTTGAATATCTTCCATTCTCCTTCATTTGTCGCATATGCTATTTTCCAGTTTAGGACCGAATGGTAAATGATGAACTCTGAAAAGCATAAAATTGATTATTCATGTGCAAGATCATTTATTGAGAAAATCAGAAGTCCTTTGATCAGCCAGAAGTTGAGAGTATTTTTTTTAACAGCTACTGCACTGTAGGAATTTGATAATTGTTGGGAAGTATTTATAATCCCCTGTTTTTTTAAATTATTAAAGCAAGAACGTGTGGGGTCCATGATGAGCCCAAATTAACCATCAAATTAAGACTGAGTGTTTATGTCTAGAGGAGGAAGGACTGGAGATGCCTGAGATATGTATCACTTAATGAGTTTTTTTTTCACACCTAAAGGTGTGGTTGTACAGCTTGAAAAGGCCCCCACTTTTCCTCTTTTTACAGAGCTCTTTAGTTGATTATAGCTGGGCAGTGAAAATGAGCGAACAACTTTGACTGGTTAACTTGTCGGTTGACGTACTTTGATAACGAGGCCCTACTGTCCAAACAAGGAAAAGCAAAGATCAAAACGATGTCTGTTACAACACGTCCCACATCCATCTAAGCGGAGGTGTAGGAAGGGCACTGATAAGACAAGCCCATTACCTTAAAGTAAAGATTTGTGAAAAGTAAATTAAAACCAAATAAATTGTGTAGACTTGACGATTATATCAGCTGCTGACTGCTACCTTATTTTTTATTTTTTTAAGAAGCTGGATTTTTCAGGAATTGAGCCAGACGTGAGGCCCTTTGAGGAGAAGTTTGGCAAGCGCTTTATGGTAAAATGCCATGACTTGACTTTTGCTCTTCAAGGCTGTGTGAATGAGCAGGCAGATGGCACGCCGACAAACGTGAGTTGCATTGAAAGCGTTGTCATGTTTGGACAGATCTGTTTCTGTCATTAATGCACAGTTTGACATGGGACCCTCTGCAAGAAATATCGAACTTCTGTTTACATACTGTGCAGTACAGTTAAAAGAATGGTGTGCACTTGCGATGATTAAAAATTGCTGCAGTTTAAATAATTGGCATAAAGTGATGAAAAACCTTTCTTTTGAATCATAGCTAATTATCACGTGACAAAATGCCTTATAGCCAATGAATTACTTTTGAGCAGCTACCTCTCTTGTTATGCAGTATAAGGGAAGTCTGTTTGTACAGCAAGATCCCACGAACATTGATACCAGTCATAATTTGTTTTTCACTGTCACCGTCTGGTGATGCACAAGGAGGTCATTCAATCCATCGGTGTTGCTTGACAGAACAGCCCAATTAACCTCACTTAGCGTGCTTTTTCCCAAAAGCCTACAAAACAATTTGTTTTCCTATGTATATGTGATGCCTTTTCAAATCTTAAATTACTGAATTTGCTACCATCACCTTTTGGGCAGTGCATTGCCTATCATAACTCACTGGTTTTAAACAAAGATTTTCTTATCTTCCCTCTGGTTCTAGGATATGTGTTCTCTGGCTACTGAGCTTCTTACCAGTTTCTTTTTATTTCATTATAATCAAAGCTCCTTGTGAATTTGCAAAGTTGTATTTAATCTCCCCTTTAGCTTCCCTGTTGACAAAATACCTGTCTCCGCTGTCCTGGTCTCTGAGTTCAATCTCCCTGAAATGATTTGAGTACATATGATCTGCATTCTCACAAAGACCTTGCGTTCCTTCCTAAAGTATCTAGAATTGGAGACAGTAGCGCTGCAGTGGCCTAACCTGCAAGTTATAAAACTTTCGCCTAATGCTTTTGTACTCTGCCTCTTTCACTGATCAAACTATCTCCCTTCAGCTTGTCGCAGCAGTCTGTAACCATCAGTGATGGTGTTGGTTTCGGGGTCACTGCTCATCGGGACACCAAGCAGGAACTCTGATTATTGTAATGATCAAAGGGGCGACCCCTCTAAATAATTTGGTACTTTATCATAGCTGCACTTGTGTACCCTCATAGATCATGGACTCAAGCTTTTGGTTCCCCAGCCATTAAACTCACTTGCAAGTGCTCCCAACAGAGTCAAGGTTGATGCCCTGATGTAATTAATTGCTCAGTAGGACTGAGGAGGAAAGTTACCGGGTGCTGACCCGAGCTTGCATGCTAAATATCTGTATCATACTGAGGCAGTCACGACTGAGTCGGTCTGGTCAGGAGCCACAATACCTAACACTCACTCACTAAACTGAATCCCCTCTGGAGCGCTTGAGTCAAGGGTGCACTCTCATGGCATTAAAAGGAAGCTCTACCAGGAGATTCTAAAGGCATGACTCTGCTGGGTTTGAGGTTGACTATGAGCCTTGAGAGAAGCTCCACCAGGGTCACTGGATCTGTTGCAAACCAACTCGAATTAGTTTTGAGTTAGTTCCTGTAAAAGCAATTGTGTATCAGTGGCAGGAAGAAACCATTAGGAGAGGAAATCCTGAGCCAGTAACTCATTCAAAACTAAACTGCCTATGCCACCCTGGCCTATTTGCAGAAATATCTGAGTAGGGATCTGCCTCAGCTGTCCCTTTCTCAAACACTGAAGCTCCAAATGATCGTCTTCACCATGAGCAATCAAAGCATAATCTAATATAGTGATAGAACAGGCTGGCAGGGCTGAATGTCTCTCCCCTGGTTCTTGCATTCTTGTTAGAGTTAACTTGTGTTAGAGATCTTGTTGACTTCGTGTTCCTTTGATTTTACAAAAGAAATACAGCCATTCTGATCACTGTTTTATTAATGCTCTATGGTAATTGGATGGATGAACTCTGAATAATCAGCCCAGGAATTTTGAGGTCTGATTTTCAATCCACCTGAACATTCCCCTGACACCACGCTGCTCTGCGTTACTAAATGGGACTTTCCGAGCCTGTCTATTCCAGGACCCTGGAGTGCTGGCTTCCTCAGAGAGCTCCGTTGCAGCTGCTCAAAATTGAGGGATAATCAGACATCACACCTTTTTACAGCATGAAATATGAACTTAAGAAATAGGAACAGGAGTAGGCCATTCAGCCCTTCGAACCTACTAGGCCATTCAATTAGATCATGACTGATCCTATTGCATTTCAAATTCCACATTCCTGTCGACCTCCTATAACCCTTGATTTCATTCCTAACATAAATCTAACCGTTCGTATCTTAAAAGTATTATATCACCCCACACCTCCTGAGGCTGAGTTCCAAAAGCACACAACCCTCATTAAGAAAAATATGCTCCTCATCTCTGTTCTAAAAAAAACTCTGATTTTGAAACTGTGCCCATAGTTTTGGACTCACCCATAAGTGGAAACGTCACATCCAGCTTGTGAGGATTGTTCAGAATCTTACATGGAGGGTCCCCGATTACTAAAAATCTGACTTATGAATGTTTGTTTTTTAAAAATGCAATCCTGTATTAATATTAATTTTAAATGTTCTGATGTACAAACATTTCCTGTACTTATGAAGAGTTATTTTACATTGTCCTGTATTGTGTTCCAACTTACATACAAATCAATTTGCAAATGGACTGGAAAGACTTTTTTCATTGGAGCGTAGGCAGCTGAAGGATGACCTTGTTGAGATTCATAAGATCAGGGGCATAGATAAGGTGAATAACCAAGGTCTTTTCCCTAGGGTGGGGGAGTTCAAAACTAGGGGGCATTTTTTTTTTGGTGAGAGGAGAAAGATTTAAAAAGGACACAACGAGCAGCTTTTTTATGCAGAGAGTGGTTTGTGTGTGGAATGAACTGCCAGAGGAAGTGGTGGATGCAGGTGCAGTTACAACATTTGAAAGACGTTTGGATAAGTATATGAATAGGAAAGGTTTGGAGGGATATGGGCCAAGTGCAGGCAGGTGGGACTAGTTTGGGAGCAAGGTCGGCATGGACGGTTGGACCAGAGGGTCTATTTCTGTGCTGTATGACACTATAACAGAGCTTTGTTTGCAATGCGGGGACTGCCAATACACTTCATCTCACTCTTCTAAGTTCCAGTAGAAACAAGCCTAGTTGGTCCACCCTTTCCTCATAAGTCAGCTCACTCATTTCTGGTATCAATTCAGTAAACCTCCTCTGGATGAATCACCTCCAACTCATTTAAATATGAAGACCTTCCTTAAATATGAAGACCAAAACTACACACAGTTTTTAAGATATAAAATCAATGAAGCCTTGTATATTGTAATGCAATATCCTTCTATTAAGTTTAGTTCCTCTTGTAATAAGGGAGAGCATCCCATTAACCTTTTGAATTTAAATGTCCACTGTGAATGATTGTAAATGGGTGAGTAGATGAATGACTGAATAGGTAGCTGGTTAAGGTGACAGGTAGAGTGGGTGAGGTGGATAGTTGAGTTGGGAGCTGCTCAGGTCTACTCATAGGGAGATATTCAAGTTGGGGGTGCTTCTCCAGGTTTGGTTGTGTAGATGGCATATTGGGAGGGGTAGTCAGATTGTACAGGGTGTTGTGAGGGGATGTGGTTGACGGCACAAAGGGGTAGATTGGTGTGGTGGGTAGTGGGTCATGGTGGCGGTGTTGAGGTTAGAGTTGGGCCCTCAGTATGTAGTTAGGAATTCAACTGTGGAGTCACTCAGGAGTCTGGCTGGACATCTGTCTTAACATTTCTTCAGTAACAGTTCAGTTAAGTTGTCAGAACTGCCCCAAGTCTCCATCATGCAATGTTACAGTGAGCAAGAGAATTGCCCATCTGTAGTTTAGACATCATGGGGAATTACTACAGTGGTTAATGCGTCAGCACGCATCCTGGACTATACGTCAGGTCACTGTCAATCCTGGGTCTGGAAAATACGGCACGTTGTCAGTCTGTGTACACGGAGCTTTTATGCCTTATACCATTGGTTGAAAAATAATGCCAAGGCAGTTACAATCAAGCACAAGTAGAATCAGTGCTTCCTACTAGTGGCAATCATTCAAGAATTTAAAGAATGACTGTGCCTACATGAGAAAGTTGGAATACTAAAAAACCAAGCAGTCTCTTTCATTCCCTTTTCACCGTTCAATCATTTACAGTTTGCAGACTGTCAGTTTTATTTTAGTCATTCTTCGCTCTTAGTCACTATTCAAAGGCACCAGATTATCTTGCAGTAACTTGGAGAGTTACAAATGGCCGATGATAGAGAGGTTAAATTGTAATTGTTTTCAAGTGTTTTCCGACTGATTGAGACTGATGAAGGTTAAAACTGTAAAGGAAATCTTGTCCGTTTTATGAGAAGTTCTGGAGCCAAGACTTGTTTTCCCTCCAGTGCTGAAGATGAAGGAGTGATATGTATGAGATATTCAAGATGGTTAAAGCATTTGGTAGGTTGTCTCTAAATACCCTTTCTCCTCTGGCCAAATACTAAAAAACAAGGAGCTAGGACATTCCAGAGGTATCTTGAGAAACATTTCACAAATCTGGATCCCCTCTACCCAGACAGCTGTGACAGTGAGTTCAAGAATCCATTTCCAAATGGGTTTTGGAGGGGGGAAATGTCAGCTGTGATCTAATTGAATTGTAGACAGACTCGCGGAGCTGATTGTTTCACTGAAAGATTAGACCAGGATCTCATCTGTCCTCCAGGCAGATACAAAAGATTCTATGGCCCTCTTTCAAAAAGGAGCTTCCACAACTTACCAACTTGTATTCCTCATCCACTAAGCGTATTGATTGAGCATTAACTGACCATGCTTTCTTAAATCTTGCAGTGTGCAAATTGCCTATCCCTGTTTACTGAATTAGTACAGTATCTCCACTTCCAAGATATTTTTACGACTGTGAAGCACTTTGGGCAATCCTACGTTCCAGGACAAACCCAGCAGAGGTGGTGGCCCAGTTACACTGGGAGGCCTCAATGTTGACTCCGAATGTCATGAAGTCTCACCACATCAGGTCAAACA